GAAAAGTAAAAATATTGCCCCCTAGTTCCCGATTAGGAGCAGTGTTCCGGATTTAGGGGGGGTCTCTAAGGCAGGAAAAACCCACAAAAAGCCCGTGAAAGGGGGGTTCAGAAATTTTGGCAGTCCTGAGATAGGGTGCTTTCAAAGGGAGGGAACGAGCATATGCGTACCCTAAATAACACTGAGTGGGGGGCCCGGGGACCCTTCAGTCTCCAGGGAGACGCAGGTCGTTGGTGAATTTCCTCCAAGGTGGTTTCCTGCACAACCTTGTGGATCCGGATTGGGAATTCTCAATCCTATTGGTGGAGGTGGATGCGGCTAAAGCCAATATGGCGGCGTGTGAAATCGGGTAATCAGTGCTCGCTGTTGGGTATCGCCCGCGCTGCGATTATGATTGACAGGTCGTGCGATCGAGAAACATTCGCGATGCTTTGTTTGCGTTATGCTGCGTTTATACTATCGATTTTTGTCAGCAAATCGTACCGGTTTCAAGTGCATTCCAACACAATCGGCTGAAATTCGATTGTGTTGGAGTCGGAGTCGGGCCGAGTTGGAGAAATCTCCAACTCGGCGACCTGACTCCGACTCGACTCCGACTCCAACACAATCAAATTTCAGCCGATTGCGTTGGAATGCACTTGAAATCGGTACGATTTGCTGACAAAAATCGATAGTGTAAACGCAGCTATATGATCGAGTGATGGGGATCAGATGGGTCCGTCCCAGATACATGTTCGTGTACGTAATTAACTGTTTGTACATGCTACTGAAGCATCAACTCTCACATGATTTCTTAGCTACGAAAAAAACTTACAGCTCTTGATGGTAAAACCTGTCTCTACGAGCTGCACGCGACCCAAATAGGTCGTTTCTGTTTTAGGAGGAAACGGGACCAAAAACTCACGTGAATAGAGAGCGGAATATATCTTATCTTAGTAATGTTACAAGTCAATACAGTGGAGTCGAGACTAGCATGCATATAATATAAATAATATTGTGATTAAGTAGTAAGTGTGCGGAAGAAACGGGATAAACGGACATCAAGATCACCTTTTCTCCTATCGACGACTTAAAAATACCTCCTCCACCGATAAACTTGAATCCTCTTCTTTGACTAGCTACAATTACCCAAGTTGTACATATTTTCATTTAAAAAAATCAGACCTATTTCCTAGCGACAATACCAATGCAGTTCTTATTTCCCATAATTGACATTCCATCCAACAGATGGCACTAGTGGCTAGTGTCTGTTTAGATTTGTCCCGTGCGTTGCAGCGCGTGAATGTTTGCACGCAATAGAGACTGGAAACCAAACTCTGTTTGCATGCTCCAGTCGTTTCTGAAGTACATTAAAATATGCACCACTTCACTGCTTCAAAGCTCTGCCATTTTTTTCTGCAGTTCGTTAAATTGCCGAAATGCAAAACTGTCATTAGCATCATATATGTCAAGCGATCACTGGGAATACACAAAAACTCGTCAAACCTCATAAACTTGAAAAATCATGCAACGCTTCGAGCCGATTTGCCGACACGACACGATACGCGTACGCTGTCCGCACCAAGGGCACAAGGTCACATGCCTTTAAGAACCAATCAGAATCCTGTAAGCGTACCAGCTGTTTACCAATCACGATCGGTACCAGTGTCACCTGACCACGAGAACAAACTTGGCTTCAGTTACGCGCGCTTAAAAAAAACCGAGAACGTTCGACAGAATTTGCAAGGTGAATAGGTTCGCTATCTGGTTCTCACTTCTCTCATTTCTCTCTCTCGTTTTGTCTCTCTCTCACACACACACACATACACTCTCTCTCTCTCTCTCTCTGCCTCTTTCTGCCTCACTCACTCTCTCTCTCTCACTCACTCTCTCTCTCTCTTTCTCTCTCACTCACTCTCTCTCTCTCTCTT